ACACACACACACACACACACACACACACACACATATAATTTGGTACATATAAAAAAGTTTGTGGGCTATAAGCTGATTTCATCTTTGCTTCTTTTTGAGGAGGAGAATAAAAGTATACCACTTAGGAGGGCACTAGCCATATTTCCATCTATTTTTAATGTGAATTTTGCGCAAACTTTTAAAACGTTGCAAAAAAATAAAACAGAAGAAATGCAAATCAGATGGGTTTCTCACTCCTGGATTGGAGAGAATCAACCAGGCAATACAAATGCTTGGCATCTGAAAACACAATTTCTCAAAGGTATTTTGAATCTGAAAAGGGCTGCAGTGTGAAGTAGTATTGTGAGCTCAGCAGACAGTTTCAGTTTCACCGGTTGTTTGCTTTGTTGCTGTCGAGAGCCTGCAGGAGTCATGGGCAGGGTGCGAGGGGGTGAGGGGAGGTGGGGGGCTCTGTGATGATGAAGCTCAGCTTGGAGAGACACAGCCCAGAGGCGGAGCTAGTCCCAATGGGCGGTTCTAGTCCCAACCGGTCATAAAGTGACAGGCACCTAGTACAGTCATGCTACAAGTAGTCTGTCCAAGACAATTGGAAGTGTGGTAAAAAGGTGCAGAAAGAGTCCCAGGAATTATAATAAAACATTACAGATGAATACCTAGGAGATACAGTTACAATGGCCAGATTAAGATGGTTTCGACATGTCCAGGGGAGGCACAGTTCATATAATGATTTATGGAAGTTAACAGTGGAGCTCCCAGTAAAAAGACAGAACAGAAGGCAAAAGAGAGGACATTTGGATACGGAGTGACATTTTTCTGAGACTTAAATCTATTGAAGATATTAAGGTCTCAAGTAGATCTTATGTAAACTCCTCATGTTACAGCTCTGTGATGCAGACATCAATAATGTGCTCAGGACAACATGGGCCAAGGTGGACATGAATACACGGGCTTGGACCCCGGTGATAACTGCTTTGCAGTTCTAGTTTCTATACAGTAACTACACTGCAGATATCATTGGTGGAAAGAACAATTGCAAAAATCAAATGAATTCTGGCATCTTACACGTTCAGATTTAATGGAAGAATTTACCTTATTAAAATAGTGACATGCAAAATTAACTCAATTAAAGGTCAAATTCAAATAAAATTTAAATATTTAATGAATTAATTGCAGGCACTTGATTTGACCTTTCAAATTAAATTGCTCTAGTGTGATATAATTAAGGGATTATTTTGATTATTGCATCATATGACACATTTACATTGTTTATATCAATTTTATATTTAAAAAAGAAAATTTAAGAGTTCATGGAGTTCTTTTATTGGTGCCATTAATTGTTGTAATATACAGTATGATGTTAAAGTGTAAAATCTGTAGCGTTTCTTTCCCACTTTGGAAGCAATGTCATCTTAAACATCTTAAACACATCCTCACTTACTGCTGTCCTTAGTAAAATTTAGTTTTAAGTAAACAGTCTGTTCAGATCCATAGATGGTTTTGATTCTTGCATAAAAAACTAGAAGCACTCGGAGAGTGCAAACCTCCGCCAAGTCCAATTTCCTCCATCCTGTAATGCACTAAAAGCAGAGATGGGAACGCATTTGCCGAAAAAGTTCTGACGTAATGAACATTTAAGCAGGCCGTATGCACGGGATTTCTTCCCGGTGGAGTCCAATGTGGGAAAAAAAAGGAAAAAGTCAGACTCGTCACCCGACGCTATTGTTGAAAGCTTTCGCATCGGTGCTACTTGATTCAAAAAAGCAGAGTTTTCATCGTGCGTCTAATCACACAGACACACACGCGTCTTCCTATCTTTGTGATGAACACACACAGCGGTCACAACCACGCTCTGCGCATTCTTTTTTCCCCAAAGTTTGGCGAGAGGTGGACAGAGGGGCGCRCAAATAGYTCTCAACTTGATCTGGCCTCATTTAAGTAATAATAAAAATGAACAAACAAACAAACAGCCTCCGAGTCTGAAGTCCACCACGTCACTTCACTTCTTCAATCTTCATCGACCTGTGTATAAGCCTACTGACAATGTGGTGTGTTTGAGGAAATGGGAGAAATACGTTTCATGCTGCAATCACGCACTTYGTGGTCACAGAACATTTTGTAAATGTGCACCAAATGCGTAAAAATGTGCACATTATGGCAAGAATAATTCATCATTACATTTTAACATTACTTTTATATAGTTTGAAGTCCAAACACTGATAGCTGTCACAGTTTTTTTTACAGAAGCCATGTGAAAGCMTCACAGCTTTGCCAGTCTGAGAGGATTAAAAGAAAARAAATTCCTGTATCCGCATCGTGATCTGGAACATCACCAACATTTAAAGGTGTGTTACTTGGCCCAGTACCCACATGTGTTGTAAATGCCATGACAATCCATCTGCAGGTTTTTGAGTAATGTTGTCCACAGACAGAACAACAGAACGACAGACCGACAGCCCGACAAACAGACGGACATACGCGACCGAAAACATTACCTCCTTGGCGGAGGTAATAAACAAGAGCTTCATAACTTTCCAAAACAACAGGAAAAAAAGTTACTTTAGTTTGATATGCAGCATGAAAGATTACACACCACAAATGAATAATGACGTGCCACTTTATTTTGGCAGTGTAGCAAAGCAAAAAAAGTTACTTTTTTTTGTACATTTGGTTGTGTGACCTTGTACACTCATTTTTGGAGTCAGATGTGTTTTATCTCCACATGCATCATTTGAAAGAAAAACTCTGTATTCTTGCTCCTGCAGTGTTGTTAGAGATGAACAAATATGGATCACCAGCTGAGATGAGACACTTTGTTTTTCCTTGCGAGTCATGTGTGTTTTTCATCAGTTTATAGGGAGACATTTACTACATGAAAGACAGTTTTTAACTAATTAATCATTGTTTTGACCATAAATACGTTAAAGGAGGCAAATCATGTGAAAGCCAGTTTTTTAGCCATTAAAATATTTTTGTTGTTTACTTGGAGTCTCTAGGAGTACAGAAATTATAAATTTAGTCTCATCCGATGCTGTGTAGGTATCCGTATATTCAGTTTGGGTCATATTTTTTAACCTGCTCACTTTTCTTTGTTTTATATGACATTCCATGAACTGCTATGTTAAAATATTTGTGATAATAAGGATTGAACTTGTACCAACTACAATTTGGTAATCCCTCTCCTCTCACTCTGGCTCCAACATGTAAGGATGGATGGACAAGTCTTCCCTTGTTGACATCTTTTAATTAATTTGTATATAAAAAAAGTTTCTGTGCCGCTAAACCCCACTATCAAACTAGAATGGATCGCTTTGGAAGCTGGAGGGGGACGGGGTGTGAAGTGCCTCATTTGGATTTAAAGAGACAGCCTCAAAATGAGCTGCTTTGAGACAAACCTCATTAAAGGGGTGAAAGAGAAGTTTGAGTAGATCTAAAAAGGAGTAATTCAGACCAAAGCATATCATTTCCACTTTGTATAAATTTAAGATATGATTTAAATCTGAAAACATGGATTTAAAAAGCATGACATGTCTCCTTTAAAGCTCATATCCTGTCGTAAAAAATGATTTGTCAAGATATGTTAGTTGTGAATACTAATAATGTTCAATCTATGAATATCTGTAAGTTCCTTTTTTTTCCTTCAAAATAGTTATTGTAATATACAGTGTAATCTAATTAAATATGCAATTAATTCCCCATTGGTAAACCTTTCAACAACAGTTCAGTTTCTAAAAGTTTATTTTGACTGTTTCATCTATAAGTTGCTGTGCTTGTACTGAAAACATTTACAAGTAATAAATCTTACCTTGGGACAAGTATAGCCATCAAGCTTTTTCACTGTCCAAGAGCTTTTGAATCCACAAGCTTACTTTGATTATGTAACTGGTCATAAAGCAGGTCATTGTAATTTACCTTGAGTGGATCGCCCACATATACCTGCCTTTAATTCTCTGTACTAAMGTTTGCTGCTATAATAAGCTTTATTTCCCATAAATCAGAAGAATAATTTGTTATACTCCATAAATATTTTAAACAATGACATAACTGGTCACATAAATAGGTAAAAACATAAGAACATCATTAAAAGTTTATGAATAGAGTTGGGGTTTTAAAGGAATGCTTGACATGTGATTGGTGGAGTGTTTGTTTTTCACTGTAATAAGCGGACGCACAGATGCAGMAAATTTTATCAAGTGAGGAAGCTGACTTTTTCATTCTGAACAGAAACAATAGCATGAAGTCTGAGCCAATAGATTCATATTTTATCTATGAAGTGAATGCATTTTTAATAATAATATTCTAGTCTTTTAGACCAATGAAAAAAACACTTACATTTCAAAGTCACCTATGAACATTTTCATACACTTTAATGTCTACAGAAATGTTCCAACCTAATCTGCATTTCTTTGGTATTGTGGATACACACACACTGATGAAATGATCAGTCAATGTGGTTTTCAATGTTTTGCATAAGACACCTTCACATTGTCCAAGAAAACTAGAAATAAAAACTGTTATGTTCAAACTTTTAGARGCCATCTTCTGCTACACTAAAGCYTTAAAAAATCTTCATTGCCTAAGTTGTTATTCATATACAGTATGTTTTGTCAAAACCTGAATAAAACTTATCATGTATTTCTATGTGTACATATGAGCTTGTGCTGATGAACAGAGGAGTTTTACATGCTAAGAGAGCAAGAGTTTTAAGCTTTTCCTGTCTTCTTAACAGCTCCGGAAGTGGAACTTTTAAATTAATACAGCAAAAGGTTTAGCTTGCCATAACAATCAGAGGAGAGGTTGGAAGTCGGCAGCGTTCTGTAAAATTAAGGGCGAAAACACAGTCATAWTAACCTCACTTCCCGAAAGTCATAATTCTCAAAAAGCATTTATGGATTCTGGTCATTCATCATTTCACCAATGTTAATTACTTCCTGGGTGTCCTTGTGATAAGCTCAGAGAGGACGTTGGTGTGTGTGTGTGTGTGTGTGTGTGTGTGTGTGTGTGTGTGTGTGTGTGCGTGCGTGTGTGTGTGTGTGTGTGTGTGTGTGGGATAACACATACCTGAGGAAGAGCCTGGACTACTGTGTCAAGCAGCGCTCTCATCCCAGTGGCCATTTTCAATAATTTTAGCACTGGAAAGATTCCACAGACAATRAGACCACTTTAGCTTCATTACAAAAGTTTGCAATTTAAAGTACATGTCAAACATGCTAWGATGCTAATAAAAAACAAAAACATKCATAAGAAACCATGGGGATGGAAAATCCATTTACACATATTAAAAGCAAAACATAGAGGGAGAAAAATGATCTGTAGGTTTCTGGACAATTCATTGGAGAGACCCTCAGCTATTCTCTAAGGTCCAATTTCTGGAGGAACAAGGCTGCTGTTGAGGCCAGAAGCAAAGAGAAAAACCACATGTGTATAAAGCTTCAATGACCACTCAGAMAACATAACCATCTGGGAGTTGTACTTCTCCACAGTTGGTTGATGATGGGGAAATATCAGTGCGATTTTATGTGTGCACTTAAAAKATTATGTACAAGATGTTGGTAGTGAATGGTGAGAAGAACCAAATCTCATCATAAAATACACTGTTAGGGAAAAAAAAAAAAACTTTTTGGACAATTAGCTTACTTTGGTTGCAGTTTTGGTGATGATTTTGGTGCAAGATTGGGGAGTGATTTTTTTTCTGTTTTCTGTTGGTAATCTGAATCTTAGGCAGAAATCTGAATATTTAGTCAGGGCAGTACATACAGTACTGTATATATAAACTGTTCTACTCCTCTGGGGCAGCTATTGGAAAAGCCTGACTTTGTCTTTGAATCTAGATCTAAGAGGAGATAGTTGACTGCAGCAGTCTTGCTGCTGTTAGAAGACCAGTTGAATAAAATATAGTGCCCATTTTAAAATTTAAATGGATGCAATACAATTTTTAAAAACATCCAGATGAAGAGAAGTAGCCTGTTAAAAAAATTCCAAGACTGGAGTTATGTTTTGTACTCCAAAAGGTACAGCCTGTGTGAAAGGACTGCTGTAAATGGTTCAGTAAATGGTCTCTTCTTTTCTTTCTTCAGTAAATGGTCTCTAAATGATGACTTCAGTATTAGTCCTCAGACCCAGGCAGAAGGACAGAGTCTTGGCAGAGGTATGTAATCTGTGTTCTCCATTTGTTTGATCTCCAGGACCTCTGCAGTTTTCATCAGCTGAACTTTGCCTGTTTAAGACAGCTCTGGTGGGGATGGTTGTACCATCTTGGACTGAAATGCTTAACATATTCACTATGCCAAATATTCTCAATGACAGTGCTTAATGACAGCGGTAAAAACTGAATGTCAATAATAAATAAATAAATAAATAAATAAATAAATAAATAAATAAATAAATAAATAAATAAATAAATAAATAAATGTTTTCTGTTAATCTGATGATTCATAAACCATTTGTTGTATACAACAATATACTTCAGTTTAGATAAGGGGGGGTGGGGGGGTGGGCAACTTAAATGATAAAATGGGCCACAATTTTTTTGTTGACACTACCCCTAAAATAAATTTAATAAATGCATGTTTTGTGTACGTATGTATGTTTATTAAACCAACATACAGTGCAGTAACCTAACATATGTCATGCTCAAATGCATTTTTTAACAGTTTTACTCTTGTTTAATGAATATGAATACAAAACATTAGAAGCAAACAAAAACATGAGCACTTATTTACTTTAATGAGCTGAAGTGCAAAGGCATAAAATGCCTTGAGTGTACACGCCTATGTTGTTGTGGTTCTGGTAAAAAGTCGCTGCTGTTTTTGTACTTCCACTTCAATATACTTCCCATGTTTAGCTTTGTGAAATGTGTTGTAGTAGTGACTTCTATAAAAAAAAACCTTCAGACAGACAGCATCTCTAAGCAGATTAAACACATTGAACACATTGATTTGCCTTGAAATTCTATGAACAGAAAGTTTAATCCCCTCTCATCCCCCGCTCTGAAAAAAAAAAACCAAAAACAAAAACAAAAAAAAAAAATCAAAATCAAAATTTAAATGTCTTATTGGCAGGCTAGAAGGAAGTCCCCCATTGGCTGGATGTGGCCTGCGGGCTGCTAGTTGTCCATTCCGGGATTTATTTATTTATTTTTTACATTTATTGTAGCACACACATAAGTTAGTTGATATACAGTGAAGCAAACATATTATGAATGAAAGGGGAAAAAAAAGAAGCCCCCTCTTCACCCCCCGCCCCACTTCTAAATTATCTGTGGCTGTTGCAGCTTAATTAGCATATTACCCTTGGGTCCATTCAATGGTCTCTGAGCAACATGGTGAAGGGCAGAGGGCGATGGTAAGAGGGCGAAGATTAAGTGAGATTGATGTAATTAGTCTTTATCCTTCTCAGCGTGAAGTTAAAACAAATTGGTACAGCCCAAATGGCACCTTTAATTTCCTCTAAATATCAAGAATGAGAAATACCAAATGAGAATGCTATAACTTGGAGAAACAAATGGTTTCCTCAGAGGCAGTGAGGCCAGTGAATGAATGATACAGCTACCTGAGTACAGAACATGTGATTTCTGTGTGCTTTTTTGTTTCATTGTGGAACTATCCATAATGAGATCACAATCTGAAAGTGCTAAAATACAATCAGTAATAATATTAGTCGATTGCACAAAATGAGGATGAACTGATTGTGAGCAAAATCATTTAGTTTTCTCCAAGTAGGTCCCGCTAAATGCTTGCCTTTAGATTTAAAACTGTAGGTGTTTCAATATGCGATGTGAATGAAATGGATTCAAAATAAGGCTCCAACTTAACAAGAACAAACTGAGGTAAATGGGGGAAATGAAAACCAGATAGACTGTATTTACAATGGAACACATACTGTAAAATTTAAAGACAGGTAATATGTATTTTTAGGCACATAGCTCATTTCTATTCTACAATCAAGTAACTGTTGCCTTTAGTTGTTGTGAAAATGTTGTATACATTATAACATAAATTTGACTTTGCATCATAGTCATATCTAAAAATTGGCTTCTGTCTCTTTAAGAACCTCCTACCGTTTCTGACACTCCCATTGCAGCACATCATTACAACAATGCTGCATGCCGTTTTCAACCTTTTGTATCAGTTTTTGTATTTGAGCATTGCAATTTGTTGCAAAAAAGGCAACAATATATAAAATTCCAGTAGATGTTTTTGATGAGGGAATGACATTATAACATGATATAAAGCTAAAAAAATGTCGAATTTGCATGATATCCCCCTTTAAAAAAACAAGTTCTTGCAGTTTTTTATCAATCAGGATTAACATCAACCCTTTGTGATGCAGCATAAATACAGTATTTTGAGTGTTTCATAGCTATTCTATGTCATGAAAAAAGGGGTAAACTATTTAACTGTGTGTTTAGATTTACCTCGTGCTATTCTCAGCACCCTCATAATCCTGATGATAGTGGGGTTGATTGGGAGGGAGGCGTTGATCTCAATCTCCTCCAGAGTGATTCCCATTACAGACAGCAACACTATGGCCAAGTCCAGCTGATTCCACCTAGACATATGTGCACACACATCATCTTAAATAACCCATGAAGCACTCTGTGCGTACCCTAAACAACGGATGAATATTAATTCCTACATCCTAATGTAACTCAGCAACTCATAATTGAACACATTAAGGTTCGAGTTATGTTAATTTTGTAATGAATATTAATGCTCTGAATGAACTTTGTGCAAACTTAGCACAACTTTCCTACTTGACAGAAGACTGGCTAACAGCCCACCATCACTTCAAGGTCTGCTCCAGTCATGAATATTTATTGGAATAATGGAATAAGAGTTCCAACACCAAGTAGAACGTGCCATCACAAAATATTTCATCTCAAATTCATGTTGTCTATTTGCATTTTGAAAGGTGGTTACCTAACTGAATGATAAATATCTCTAAAGAAGCTGCACAACAAAAAAAGTTTCACAGTGAGGCTTTGCTGTTACATTTCAGAGCAGTGGGTACCACTTAAGCATACTTTTGTCTGTGAAGAAAAAAAGGACCATCAATCAAAATTAAATTTAAAAGTTAAATTGGTTGTGGATGAATATACTGTAAAAAATAGAGGGTTTTTTTTGGAGATCTGAATGTATTTACAGTTTTCAGACACACATTGGTTTAGTTATGCCAGTAAACGTACTTGGTATACAGAAATATGGTGTGATGCAAATCTCCTTTTGACAGCAGGGACATGGCTGAAATGTCTTGATTCTGTAATAAGTTGATCTAGTTTCTTAGCTGCGAGAAATTTTGTAATTAAGCAGTGACATAATTAATAAAAAAAAAGTGGGCTGCAGTTTTGTGATCACTATTTTAAATATTTTTCGAACTATCCAGAAAATTGCAATTCGACACTTAAGGGCAACAAAGTGAGAAATTAGAAACAGTAATTGAGGCTAAGACCAAAGCAACAATCACACTGTGATGTTTTTTTCTAAATACACAAGAAGGTTTTTGTTGTTTTGTTTGTTTTGGCCTTGTCTCCACATGAAAACAATGTTGAAAGAGGCATATGATCTTATTAAAAGAAAAACAACTAGAGTGGCAAAATCTCAAAATGCCACCCTTGCACTCAGCATGCAAGCTTTATGCATGCGCTCCGTCCGCCTCTTGTTTCCTGTTTTGGTTGTATTTTTGTGGTAGCATAACAGTGCCACTCACAGGCCTACATAGGTACTACATTGTTTTGGATCATTTTATTGTTGGGTATTAATGAAGACATTCCAAGAACTAGTGCCATGCTCACTTGAAAAGTTTCAGAAATAACATTTTCAAAGAAAGTTTTGGAAATAACTCATTGTGGACAAGGTCCAAGTGATGTATTCAAAGAAAAATAAGCTTGTAAACTGACAATATTAATACTGTATGTGACATTGCAGTGAATATGTGGATACCCATGTAACATAAGCAATAGCTTCATTTTTTACATTACTGGTGCTGGAAGTGTACCTGTCCTTGAAAAAGCGTCGAAATCCAAAAGCCACCAGCTTCAAAGAGGCCTCAATCACAAAGGTGGAGGTGAAGAAGTAGTTACAGTACTTCAGTGCAGTCTCCAGAGACTGAAAGTGGCAGGGTTTCAAAACAGACAGAAGTTAGAAAAAGAAGACAGCATCAATTACAGGGACGTTATACTTTCCACCTGCACTTTCATTTTGTTCACATCATCCTAACAAAGATCTGTGTTTTATTATTATTATTTATTTGAATACCATTGCTGCTGACGAAAAAATACTAGCACAGTTATGATCAATGCTTTTCACTGAGTGTGTTCTGTCCGAAGCAGAAAATTATATCTTTAAATAGAAGCAAGCTTAATTGAGACAGGCAAGTAAATTATGACTGACTCTGAGGAGGAAACAAAGGACATTTCTATCTGCAAAGGTATTAATGAGATATTCAAGTTGTTTGTGCGTATTTAAATCCTATTTAAATGTAAATAGAAAAAAGTAAATTCCATCCATCCATTTTCTTCCGCCTATCCGGGGTCGGGTCGGAAAAAAGTAAATTATTTTGCATAAACAATATAAAAAATTTAGTAATAGCTGTTATGATTTCTGTCTGTGTTTAGTGTTTTTATGTTTTGTTTCTGTCATGTTCATGTTTCCTTCCTCCTGTCTTGCCCTTGCTCCAGCCCCACCTACTCACACCTGATCCTCATGTGTCTCCCTCAGGTGTTTGTTGTTAGTAATTGTTGTCTGTGTATTTAAGCCCAGTCTTGTCACTGTGTCTTTGTCTGATCATTGTTTGTTAGTTTGTATGTCCATGTTTAGACTCTTGTTCTTCTCTAGCTTTCTGGTCCCTGATTTTTGTTATTTATCTGTTTTTGCCACCACGTTGGCTTTTTATTTAATAAATTTTTGTTAAACTTTCTTGTCTTGCCTGCCTGCCTGCAATTGGGTTCACCCTGCCTCACAGCTATAACAAATAGCAGTGTGTCATGGGTTGTTTGCTACATGTATGAATGAAGCAGTGTTGCACTAAAAACGTTTAATCTGTTTTAAATAGCCTGGAAAGGAAAACTTATATCAAACTAATAAAGCCAGTGGGTTGTTTTATCACTACAGCTTAGTTGGTTAATCTCATGTCTTGGCCCAAAAGTAGTTTCACTTTTTGGTAGTTTCACTACTCGATGCAACCAAGCACACTTTTAAATTTTGGTGATGTTCCAGATAACAATGAGGATACAGGATTTTTTTTTTCTTTTGACACTCTGAGATGGCAAACCTGTGATGCTTTCACAGAGCTTCTGTAAAAAACAGCGAGCTGGATTGGACAGCACGGACTTCAAACTTTATAAAAGTTATGTTAAAACCACATTTAATGATGAACAATTTTTGCCATTATATGCACATTTACAGAATGTTTCGTGAGCAGGAAGTGCGTGACTGCACCGTGAAACCTATTTTTCCCATTTCCTCAAACACACCACATTTCTGAAACAACCAATCAAAACAGTTCCTCGCTACTAGATTTGTGAACAGAGAGCTGCCGGGCCTCAAAGTTTGATGTGGGGAGCCAGGAAGCACTTTATAAAGAGAGTCAAACTATTACAAACTCATACAAGGCGATAAAACAGACATTTTACATGGTGAAACGTGACTGATGAAACCTCAGGAGCTTAATCCGACACCAGTTTGACGATGAATATCGTCGGGTGACGAGCCTGACTTTTTTATTTTTCACATTGGACTCCACCAAGAAGAAATCCCTTGCATACTGCCTGATTAAATGTTTGCCACGTCAGAACTTATTTGGCAAATGTGTTTCCATCTCTGCTTTTGCACATTAACTCCATTACAGGATGGAGGAAATTGGTCTTGTTGGAGGTTTGCACTCTTCAAGTGCTTCTAGTTTAATTTTAGCTTTTTTTTTTTACACAACCTACAGTCTCTGAGACGTAAAATAAATCTGAAGACGAGTGTTTGTAAAAACACTCACCAGTTTCTTGACTGGCCTGGAACACCTTGGCATCCCCCAGAAGAGCTGAAGGGGCTGGGAAAATAGAGGTCTGGGTTTCCCTGCCCAAGTTGCTGTGAACCAACTCCGGATACAGCAGAAGTAATGGATGGACGTGTGTTTGAAAATAATATCTGTCAGATTGTCCTATATGTCCATATACCCGCAAAATTAGAAAAAAAAATCTGCCGCTATAATTTACTGACTGTTCTTGACATGTATGGGCGGTTGATGTCTGATTCTGTTAATAAACAGACCTGAACTTTAATAACTAAATGTTTATTTTATATTCTGAACAAGTTGTTGTCAGCATTTTTTAACCCTTTTTCCATTTTTATTTTTACAGATGACAGAAATCAATCTTGCTGACAGCATACATGTCACGTTGTACGGATTGTCAATAAACATGAATTTTCCCTCAGTTTGTAGACAGATGAAGCTATATAGCTCCCATTTTTTTAAACTCAGCTTCACATTTACTTTATGTGTCAAAGCCTATTGGATCTGAAAATAAACAAATTAATACAATTAAATAACCAGCTCAATCTGAATTTTATAGGATCAAGATGCAGGTCTATTTTAGTGGTTAGCTATGATAATATTTGTAAATACAGCTGCCTATGAGCCCCAATTATTGCATTTATTCATGTATAATACTAGAAAATTAACCCTAAAAATCATCCATAAAATAGGAGAATAGTATAATACATGGGTTGTTGATGATTAGATTTTTTTTATGATTTTTAATCCCCAAATGTTATGATCATATTATACTCGAGATTGTATTATGCATGAACAAATATGGTAGGCCTGCTACTACCACAAAGTGGCTCAACTTCAACAAGTAGGCTAGAAGCTATGGCAAAACCCAAAAAACAATCACAGTCATTCTGTTATATACACCACTCCCTCACTTCTGACGTCCATCATGGGGTTCCCACGTGACTTGGTGATAGGATCAAAGGGTCAATAATTAGACAATATGTACATTCCTCCATGACTGATATAAATATTGTATTGAAATATCTTGTTGTTGATGCTCTTTTTAGTCTTTCATACAATACGTGGAACTGTGCAAATCATTACTTATTACTTCCTCCTATATGCAGCTTATTGTACTTCATTAATATTTTAATTACTTTTTTCATGCATTTCTTTATTGTTTAATTTTTATATACTTTGAAGTTTTTGATTTATTCTGAATAGGTCTATCATTTTTGAGCTGTTATGCATATATTGCTTATTGTTTTTTGTTTTGTTTTGTTTTTTTCATATTTGTTTGTGACTACATGTGTATTTGTAATAAAAAGCTAATTTTGTTCAGAATAAAGTTCTGATTCTGAAAAGTCAATTCTATAGAAATTTCAAACATTATCAGAAAGCATTCAGGAGACTTATCCACTACAGTCCTTTCATCCTAAAAAAATAGTGCTCACCTGTGGCTGGCTGTAGTGCTCCAGGGACATGGTGATCACATTGATGCAGATGATAAAGGTGATTACTAAGTCCAAATAGTGGCTGGTACACAGAGAATGGATGGCCAAGCGGGCAGGGCCATATGAGGAGTAGTAGGGCAGCTTCTGGGCTTCTGCATGGAGAAGCATAAATGACAGCTAAAAATCAGACTAAATGTAAAAACATGGGCAAAATAGGACAGCAAAAGACGACATTAAAGATGTGAATGAAAAAAAAACGTGAAAATGACGGAAGAATGTGAATTGTGTAAAGTGAAATGTGAAATAGAAAAACGAGGAGTAAATATCATGGTTTATAGGAAAGTAGAGTAGGAGGAACCACATTGCACAAACAGGATTTATCAAACGGCTTCTTCAGAAGTAAAAAAAAAAGAGGAAATGAAGAAGTCAGAGAGGGAGGTGAAACTGGGTGCTAGCATGAAATGAAGTTAGATAAATGTGTAGGGGGTTTAAGTAGTTTTAAATAGGTTGAAACAATGAATCATTTCCAGTAATAATATACGTCTTAAGCATGTGCCATCTGAATTGTATCCAACGAGTAGCTTACTGTTTCAAAGCTTTCAAATCCAACATTCTAACTTATATAAATAACTTGCTAAAATACATTCCACTGTGAAAGAGCCAACATTTATGAAATATATTGGTACTTTGTTTTAAACATTTTCTTTCTATCCAGTTGTATATCCTTGAGTTTCTCCTCATCTCAAAACCAATCATCAACTTTCTTATCCTTTAAGCCCCTTTGTCCACTTCTGGATCTTTTTATTTCACTTCTTTTTTTTCTTTCAAACTTGTATTTACAGTTATATTGTATTGATCTTATAAGTATAGGTGCTGTTCATTAATTTTCCCAGCATTAAAGGCATAACTCCCTATCAACTTTTGTCGGTTGTACATTCTCCTCTCTACTTTTATCTCCCGCTCTGGTTCTTACTTCTCCTCTTTTTTTCCATGCGACGCTGGCGTTTCTCTTCTCGTCGCCTGGCCTCCTCCACCTCCTGGTGCTGCCGGCACTTGTGGAAATTCTCCACTACCACACCCACAAACATGTTGAGGACAAAGAAGCTGACAATCAATAGGAAGGAGATGAAGTAGAGAAGCATCCATGGGTTGTTGTTGGTCACCGGCTGGGGCAGATGAAAAAGGAGAAAAGAAAGAGATGACAAATGACTAGAAAGGAAGAAAAATCATCTTTTATTCAAGAGAAATCTATATACAAAAGCAAAGCTGGAGAGGCTGCTATGTTGCCAGTATTTAAGAAGAATAATCACTGAATAAAAGTAATGGGGAAAAAAAAATAAAATGAAATAAACACAAGGATCCATGTCCAGATTGACTGTGAATGCTTGTGCTGCCTCAGTTTAACTAAAAGTTTAAAAGTTTAGTTAAATACAAAGGCAAGGAGGGAAACACTTACCTGTGCCTTTGTTTTACACTAAACTTTAAACTTTAATCTAAACAGAGGCAGCACAAGCATGCACAGTAGAGTTGCACATGGATCCTGCTTCTTCCTTTCTGTTGACTGGAGCTGACCCAGGAGTGACCGCCTAACTTATTTGGATAAAGAGGCAGAAATACATAAGGTAAAGTAAATACAGTAGAGAGAGAAATGTAAAAAAATGGAAATAATGGAAATAATAAGACGTATGATTATATATATATATGGTGTGTGTGTGTGTGTGTGTGTGTGTGTGTGTGTGTGTGTGTGTGTGTGTGTGTGTGTGTGTGTGTGTGTGTGTGACAAAAGTAAGGCAGGTTGTCTTAAATTTACTTCCTCTTTTTATTTCCAAGTCTTTCAGTCTTAAAACATCCTGTCTTGTGGTTGCTCTGCTTTTTGAATTCTTGACTGAAGTTCTTCATCATTTCTGACTCAMTGTTTGTTGTGAGTGCGGGAACCTTCACCCCCCTTTCCTCAAACTGAACACTGAGCTTCTTTGTGCGACTCCCAGCCGGTTTCCTTTCCATAACAATTCGTAGTGGACAGCTGTTGGAGTGACTTTTCCTCCTGTTCAGATAAATGCTGTTCTCTTGTAGATTAGATTTAATGTGGCTGAGTCCTGCTTGTACTTCAGTGTGAAGTTTGAATTGATTTTGTACTTTTAGAAGTTGCTTGGTGTAAAGTTTTAAGAAATGCATTTTTTGTTGTGTGCTTGAATTATTACAACTGAGCTCAAATCTACTCTGGAAGCAGATTTTAGTAAAATGAAATCAACTCCCAACATGCTCAGCAAACACATGAACCAACCCTTCACTTCTTTCAGAAGTCATTTGTCATCAGCAGGTGCAAAGTGTAAATGTCCCAACAGGATTTTGAACCAGCAACTTGTGACAGTTACTGTGTRCTGCTATACTGACTGACTGACTSWCTGACTGACTTTGTTTTTCTCTTCCCTAACATGCTGGTCAGTTTCTGCAGTGACTACTTAAGCCTGTTTTATAAGGAGTAAAGTTATTTAATATTGTGATGTAATCTACACTTACTTATGACCCTGCTGCAATCAAAGTAAAAATATTAAACCAGTTGTGTTTGATTTATGCATTTTAAGCTCCAATTGTTTGTATTTATGTGTGTGAGGTTTGAGGGTTCATTCATTAAATGCACTCTGTCATTGAATAGTTTTTACCTTTCACAGAAAAATCTAAATGCTGTAATTTCATTTTTTTTTTTGGGTAGGAAAACTGAATGCAGTATTTTATGTTTAGAAACTGAGTAAGTAAAACAAGTCATGTAAAAGTTTGAGGTTTGCACATTAGGGGTGTAAGAAAATATTGATACACTGAAATATCACTATATTTCATTTCCCGATACTGTATCGATATTCTAAAGC